TGAAAAAGGGTTTTATATTGAAATCTGTCATTAAATATTAAAGATAACCGAAATCCTTAGAAGGTCCTTATTTCACTTTTTAATTTTTTTTTTTTTTTCTTTTCTTTCAATTAAATTCAACATGGCAAGTGTAGCTGGATGTATTTGAACTGGGCCTCTTCAAAAGTCTTTCTTGCATGAAGAATAAAATTACTTGAAAATTAATTCTCTCTACTCCAAAATGTTTCAATCCCCCTTTTTTTTTTTCTTTTTTTTTTTTGATTCTTCAAGAACTGTATCATAGTGTGTATGAAAATTCATAGCTTCTTGATTTCTGAGTTTTCCTAATATCATATCTCAAGATTTTCATGACAAAGATGCCCAAACCAATCTCCACAAATTTTATTTCTTTAAATTTCACTAACTATGCACATACACACACATACACACATTGGGGAAATTATATGACAAAGTCAAAAAAGTTTACTTGTGACCCGTTTCATCCATCAGGACTAAATTTGTTATGTCGGTAGGACTACACATGCACATGACAGATGGATGCTGGGAATTTTAGAATTTCATTCTTTTTTTTTTAATCTAGCCAAATTCATTTAGTTTTTTTCTTTTTCTTTCCATCACCCTTGTAAGTACGTATCTTGCACTGTGATATAAGATCGATCTGCCAGTAATCATGAAATATTGTAAGAACCAGGGCACAAATTTACTGTAGATGACCTTGCGATTAAGGCACACTCTAGACATTTACGTTTTAGTGAATTATTTTTTCTTTGATCAGAGCAGAGTTTTAGTCTGAAATCCTGAAGGATGAAACACATCACAAGTAAACTTTTCCACTTTGTCAAACAATTTCCCCAATACTGTTCTTGATAAATAAAAATATATATCATCATCTATCACATACATACACACACACACACACACCAAGAACAAAGAAAAAGGAAAGAAGTATGAGAAAGTGTGTGTGTGTGTGTATATATATATATACACACACACACGATTTTAAGCCTCACTGCTGTAATGTAATACAGAATGCACAAGTGCTGGCAAATCATATTTTCAAATGCTTGTATAAATAACTAATATCACTTACTTTTATATGACTACAAATAAAAATTACAAAACTATAAAAGTCCTTTTATTATTCATTTTAGTTTTTCAGTTGTCATTTTTTCAAATTTGACTCTTTTAGTTTTGTGTTATAAATTGAGTTCCCAAATGCTATTTGTTTTTGTGAAATAGAAAAACAAATGGGACTTGTTGCTGACAATAGACACTTTTGTTTTTTAATAAAAACTTTTACTGAATAAACTTTCTTTCATGTCTATTCTATTTGGTCAAAGACTTTGATAGCTTTCAACCACCAAATGCTGAAGAAGAGAAATTATGACAGAAATAGAAGTTGATATGTTTAATCATCAATTTAACTTTGCGACACATTGCAATATTTCTTATTTTCACTTTCTTTTGCTGTATTTTTTATCACAGCTCAAATAATATGAAGAGAAAATGCTTTCTTGTAGGACATTCAGATTGTATATTTGAGTAGGAAAGAGTGATTTATGTAAAAGGGAAGTAACTCAAATGTTTTTATAATTCAAGTTAAACCTCTTCTTTTTCATATTTTAGGAATCCTGGCATCATGCAAAAATGCAAAAGTTGGTAAAGTTTGACTCAAAAATCAATTTAAAAAAAAAATCTGTTTTGGATTCTGTAGAAATGTGATATGACAAAGTTTTATAACTGCTCAAAAATAGAAATCTTTTCACTGGACTTATTCAACCTATACAGCAAGACAATTCTAGGCAAATTAGATGTCCTGCTAGGATTCATTATTTGCATCCACAATCTTAACAACATAAGATATGCTTGAGGATACCATGGACCAAACACATGAGCAACAATAAGGTTTTAGAGAAAATGGAGACAAAAAAGAAACTTATACTTAACATCAGGAAGAAATAATTGAAATTTCTGGTGCACATAATGAGAAAATGAAGGCTTGGAAAATCTGATACTCACAGGACTAATTGAGGGACATAGGAAAATGATTTATAACATACTTGATGTGCTTAAGTAAATGCGTGGCAGAACAAGATTTAGGAGAAATAACAAAAAAACAAAATTTATTAAGAGCTACAAAGGACAGGAAATTGGAGAGCTACGATCACCCTGAAAGTAGTTCACTTTTTCACTTCATAGTCCTAGAGAAAAGGTATTGTCCCCACTCTACCAATGTATATCACCTGAAAATGGTCTTTGTTTCTTAAACTTTGTCTTGATGAAATTACTTTTATTTCAACCAACCAAAATAATTTTGTTAGCAGTTTTATCAAATTCCTTTATCATATTCTATTTTCATATATAACCTTAACTTATGCTATACGAAAATGGAATTTATTTTTTTGCTTTATTTTGCAGGTTTAATCATTTTTTTTTTAATATTACCTCAGACAGGAAATCATGAGCATCAAACTTCATATAATTATGGCTTTAAAATGTTTTGTATTTTCGTGTTTGTGAAGAAACTTTAAAAACCTATATAAATTAAGAGTTGGTAAAATGAACAAATTAGACAGATTCTGTTAGTTCTAATCTTATCAAAATGACTGCTAATAACATCCCCCTCACCAAACTTATAGACAAGTCCTACAGATTCCTAACCAATAAAAATGGACAATTCTCTCTCATTCCCCCATATTTCTGTTCTTGAAGTCAGAACACTATAAGCACTTTTGCATATGAACACCATTCTTTGTGAACTTATTGCCTTATTACTGTTGGCTTATTTAGTTTTGTCTTGCATATAAATTGCTTGCTTAATAAATACTTTGTCCTGTTCTTTTTTTTTTTTTTTCCTTTTCTTATTGTTTGAGAATTTTGTCAATTACACTTAACCATGGCAAATTATACCACAGATTCAAATTATAACAAACATATAAATTATAAGATATGATATCCCTACTGGGTGGATACCAATTTAAATTAAAATATAATTAAAGTTGATTTTAAGGAGAAAGATAAAATATTTATAAACAGTATTTAAAACATATCAAATTATTAATCTGCAATGTTTCAACTTTTAGGCATTTGTAGTTAAATTAGTAGAAATTTTATACTCTTCATTTAATATGCTTTCAAAAAGAATTTAGTATATTTCTCTTTAATACTTGCATGGCTCCTTGTGTCTACTACTTGATCCGTGCTCTTAGTATACATAGGAGACTATATATCAAATAGTCAATCAGGCTTTTCATGACATGTCTTATCTATTTCTCTATTTCTGGTTGTGTAAAAACTTTGTCTTTATTCTTTATAAAACCTCATCAACAATATATATATATATATATATAATATTATACAGCAAAAAATGTAAAATTACCTCATGTGGGTATAGCCTATTTCAAACTGGTGCAACCTTGCGCCAGTCCTCTTCAGCCCTGGACTGAATTCATCTCAGAATCAGGGATTTGAAATTTAATTTAGATAAATTAGATAATTTAGGGAAAAGTTACAAACCTACACAAAATGACACCTCATCTAGATAAAGAGCCTGAATTGATGGTAAGGGAAGGGCATGAGATATCTCTCTCTAAAGGGGAAGAGTTTGCTGGAATCAACCCCAAAATGTACTTTATGATCCTAGGTTGGGGTTAAATGAAGAGTGAGTGGTTGAATTGAAACTAAAAGAATAGCCAAAATGGGAGTTTATTTGTGACCAAAGCCTTTAATTATATATAAAAAAAAAAAGGAATTTAGGTTCCCACTATGGAATTATATATAATTATTATATCTTTGCTATAAGAGATTATAATAAACATTTTGAAATCGCTACACAAAAGCTTTTATGTTTCAATATTATGATTTTACTTTAAGAATCATTTAATCACCAGTTACTTACCATTGCCTGAAGAAGTAAAATCATAATATTGAAACATGAAAGCTTTTGTGTAGTGATTTCAAAATGTTTTTATTATAATCTCTTAAAATATAATAATAATAATAATATATTGCTCTACTTTGTATTGAGCACTTTTTAAAAAGTAAATTGCCACAAACTGTGGAATTTTACTTCATCTGTTCTTTCTCACATTTGGAGAGACACAGCAGCTGAATCATTATGATGACAACAACAAAGACAAGGACAATAGTCTCTATGTAAAATATAAATAACTCATTATCCAAGAAATTCAGACAGAACTTACAGCTTGCTGTAATCTCATGAAATCATGAGAGATTGGTTTATAATCTAATTGAAGTCAGAAAGTTTCCAGTTAGAATTCAGAAAACAAGGGGTTTTGTACACCTCTTCAAACAATAGCTTTTCAATATTTCTGCAATTATTATTATCAGAAATTAACATTTAAAATAAAATTCCAATTTGAAATAAATTCTCAGTCATAATCCTTCAGATTATTTGCTAATCTTAAACCAGATTTATCCATTGTGCAGCCAACCTGTTTGGCATAATAGCATCCATGTTGAATACCACTTTTATGAATGGCATATTTAATTGAATGAAAGAAGTATCTCTTGTTTTTATAAGGCAAGAGACAGCAACAGGTCTGTGTTGCATTATGGCACCAAACTCTTGATATAAAATATTGATCCATCACTCCTACAGCCACAATCTCTTCTGACTTAGGATATTTTTAATAGGCAAAAGACAAATGCTGGTTCTGAGTTACATTCTTCTATGCAAGTTTCTGTAATAGATGTTAATTAAATGGCTACATTGTAAGAGTCTGAGAAGGTTGAGGAATGTCTGGATATAATCCTTGGATAGTGATGTTATTAAGGGAATTGTAATGAAGGAAGTTAACATGATTTTCTTATTGGATTTCTGCTTCTTTTAGTTAGATGCTATGAACTGCTCTTTTGAAATGCCTTTAAGGTGTTAGCACAAAGGATAACTAATTTTTTGGCTCGTACATTTCATTTTGCTTGAAATGGAACATTGAAGAGATGAGTAGCTGTTTGGATCAAAATATTATAAAATTAAAATGGTCAAGGTGAGAAAATGTTTGCATGTTAGATTTGCATACTGGAAAAAATATAATCACTTTCAGATTTTTCATACATTTTCTTGATTAATTCTTTTTTTTTTTTTTTTTTTTTAACTAGGATCTTAATTTTGATTGTTTAGAATCAACATATTTTAACAATGTTCTTAACCTTTTACTCTTCAAATTCAATTTTTGAACTTGAAAAAGCAACTTTAAATGAGACTAACTCTACAACAGAAACTTGAAATATGCATAGATAATTTTGGCTGTGACACATTCCTTTTCTCTTACTGACAACAGCTTTTTGATTGTTTTTTTTCTTTCCATGGCACTTCATTTTATTTATTTTTATAATTAATAGTTAATTGTTTGAGGTCTTGAAATCAGGATTTTCTTTATAGCTTCTTAAATATCTTCTTTGTAAATTTGAGAATTAAAATTATGTCTATTGGATATTTATATATTGTTTATATATTGTTTGAACATTCAAATTTCTTTGTTCTTCTTGAAACAGTATATCAGCCAATTCATTCTTCAGCCCTCTAGTTGTAATCTGTGAATAAAAAATGTTTGTATTCTAGGCGGGGGGACAACAAAAATCTGGAGTCGAGAAATTCCCTCTTCACTTTCCAACTAACATTTGATGAAGGCTGGAGAATGAATGGATCAGCTGAAATATTGTGCTATTTTACTAAGAATTTCAGAAATTTATAAAGGGACAAAGTGTTTGATGAAGGTAGTTCAATTAAGATTTTGATCATGAGTAAATATAAGTTGGGTGGAGATACGGTGAGGTAATTGATAGTAGCTCAGATTGAGGAATCAGAGAGCAAATTCCAGTTGAGTTCACTGCATTCACTTATGTGTTAATACCTTTGGGAAAGGTATGAATCCATTTCTTCTCTACCCCCCCCCCCATTTATGAGTAAACAGCAGGACATAGTGGGTCCTATAGCCTTGGGTGGCAACCAGTCTAGAAGAAGGACAACTCTGTATTGAAAACCTAATTAGGATCATGGAGTATGGACAGAGGGTGACTTAACATATTCCATGGTCTTTAGCTGTCAGTCAAGAGCTTGGAGAGGAGTTGGGTGCTGCCAAGCTATCTAAAAGATCACAAGGAAGAAGAATCAAAGCAACACCATGCTGGATTGACAGATCAACCTGGACGATGGTGTCTGTTTCTTCTAATGAAGATGGTCCCAGATCTTATGATGAAATATTAGCCTGGATTTTTACAGAATACAGATGTTTGCTGTCTCTCAAGATTTGAATCAGTCTTAAATAATTATGGTTGAGGAACTTTGTATAATCCAGTAGTCATCCAGAAAAGCTAAATACTTGATATTAATTTGTCTAATCTTGAAATTATTAGCTTGATTTTATTAATTCTCTTGGATTTGTAGATTTCATATTTTAGCAATTTTTCTTTCTTTTTCTTTTTTTTTTCTTTTCTTTTTTTTATATATCTGATTCATTTTTTATTTATTTATTTGTTTGTCTCATTTTGTCAATTTGTTTTCAACATTAATATCTTTTATATTTCTTTCTTTTGCACTTTGTTGTTGTTTTCTTCAGATATTTGATTTTGCTGATAATCTCTCACCCCCCCCCCTTCCCCACACACATTCTGGGCTTTCTGAAATTGTCAGCTATGTATAACTGCTTCCTCAGATTAGTGATTAAAAGAAATGAAACTTGTTGGTCTTAGTGTGGACCATCTTTTTTCAAATCTCATAGACTGCCGCTGCAGAATCAAAAGGAAGACATTGTACCAAATAACAGAAACCATATCACATGAACTTCCAACAGCAGCAACAACTAAAATGGATAATACATATTACTAAGAGGAAATAATGACCTAATCAAGATAATTATGTTCACACTAATTCAAACATATATATTTTCTATAAATATTTTCATAGTAATTGTTCTGATGAGTTTTCCTCTTTGATACCTTTATGAATTTAAGTGCAGTACTAGATTGGCTGATAGGTTTCATCATTTTACAATTGAAACTTTTCTATGCTAACAGATTCTTTTCACATTTCTTGCTTATGGAATTCTCTGATGACTTATTGCTTTCCACAAAAATCTTCAAAAATTTAAATGCAATGTTAATCTTAATCTTTTTTCTTAATTCCTGTTCTTTTATTGTTCTCTCTCCTTAATGCTTTTCTTTTTCTCATATTCTTCCGCACTCTGTAACCCCCTTGTCTCTTAGTGGCTTTATTGCCTTGCTTTGTGTAAAATAATTTAAAAAAAAACATTTATGGAGGAAGCCTTCATCAATACTAGAAAGAGTGATAAGTTAGTACACTTGAGAAACTTTTTCCCAAAAGAAAAAATTTAAATAGAAAGATTTTATGAATTTCATCTGAAAGTAGCACCAGATGTGTGACCAATGAATTCCAAATGTTTCCTTATAAGGAAACTGTTAATATTACCATATATTTAGTCACATTCCACCTGTTTTTCTTTGTCATTTTATAAAATTTCTTTTCATTTGTTCCTTTTCTGTGTATATACACACACACACACGATACCATCTCTGTCGGACTGCTTCTCTCTCTCTCTACATCTAGATGTGTTTATCCTTTTCCCACAAATCAATTCCATTGTGAGTGTTTGGTGTAAATTATAACATCTTCAAATTTATTTCATGATAGCAGGAAATTGGAGATCAGTCAAAGAACTATACCTTTTTTAAAAAAAATTCTTTCTCAAAGTGAAGATAAGGATCTTTGTGTGGCTGATTTTCAGAAATCCCCAAATACATTAAATAATATTTAACTCATTAAATTCAATATCTGGTTGGAGATAAAATAATTCATAATATATAACCAAATAGGTTTCTGTATTCAAACATTCTTGGATTGTATAAGTCTGATTATACAAAGATTACTCTTACCATATAGGGATAATGAGAAGGCAGATCACCAAGACTCTCAAAGTTGACAGATATTGACTATGCAGATGACCTATCTATCACTGCAGGTACCATTACCAATACAACAGTACTTGTACATCATCTGCCAATGATGTTAGACTCTGTCAATGCTTCTAAAACTGAATTCATAGGCTTCAACCAGCAAAGCTCAATACAAACTGTCTCAGTGATTCAATAAAATCTGTGGAATCTTTTGCATACAGAACAGACAAATCCTACTGAAAATGATGTGAACATTTTGAGTCACTGCAGAGGCAGTGTTAATGTACAGTGCCACTGCCAGGACATTAACTTTAACCCTACAGACTAAGCTTGATGTAACCTACACTTGGATGCTGAGAGCTATACATAACATCTGGAGACAACACCCAATTAAATTACAGCTGGATGGACCCATCCCAGATATTTTTAGTGGATACCCATATATGAGTAGATGTTCAGTTTACTTATTAAAGAGTATTTATTTTGTCTACCTAACTCACCTGAATATTCGATAAATTTTATTAAAGAAAAATATGCACTCTCCAGCACAATTCAAACCTGCACCCCACTTTGTAGTGGAAGACATCGCTATATCTGATGTGCTTTTAGACCATCTCAGCTATGGAGTGCATTGATGATCAAACAAAGTTAAATCATGCCTTATAAATGCAAATCTTTCTTAGACTCTTGGAACATTCATATCTGCTCAGTTTCATATGCTACGTAGATGAAAATAAATATACTAGAATTGTTACACACACACATGACATGACATGACAGATACATGTGAGGTCAAACAATCTGGAAGAATTGGGATCCCTTAATATTCTAACTCAAGTTGTAAATATCTGTGGTCATTGAGATAATTGTTTCATAGTTGTTTAATGACTAGTGTTAATTAATTTTTTTTTTTTTTTTTTTTTTCAATTAGCTGTTCATTCTTGTGGGTCATGTTAATTTTTGTCATATTGTATCTTATTTCCTTGACTGGTAATATGTTGTTCTCAGCATCAAGAGATTTCCTTCCCTTTATGAAAGGTTTGGTAACAAATCTTGTGGCTAAACCAGAAGCCTTAAATTATATGATCTGGCTAATTTCATGTTTAGGATAATGTTTCAATGATATGTATCTGCCTTGAATCAACAATGTCAGTTTGTATTAATATAATAATTGATTGCAAATATCAGATGTATTTATGCATACAATATCTTATGTCATCTTTTGTTTCATGAAAAACAAATACTATCACACAATGTCTCGGATATCAACAAAATCATTTTCAAAAACATTAAATTTGATTTGCTAAATACAAATAAACAAATACTACCAGGACTAAAGATCTATTAAATCTTGTACTGGGGACGACTAAATATTAATATAGCTACACTGAAAAGTATGCAAAATTTTCTTTAAAAAAAAAAAAAAAGTACTCATGTGTCTCATATAAATAGTTTTTGTTTCAGTTTGTCAGGCAATGGAGACTGAGTTAAATTCATCTGTGTGTGCTGAAGCAAAATCAAATTTAGTAAATTCACCAGAGTTTGCAACATTGCAAATTGAAAATACTGATGTCCTCAGGAAGTAGTAATACCTTGATGTCTGAAAAGTTTATACGAATTTGAGAAAAATTCTTACAATTACTGAGGCAGATCACACCTTAGTTTCATATGAATGTTTATTCATAAAGAGATGATATAATATAATTATGACTTTATTAATTCTACATGACTTGCAAATAAAAAGTATACCAAATGAAACACTATATTTTTTAATTTTCACATTTCAAAGTGTGGATCAAACTTCTTGTAGGGTGAGTGGCCATTTAGCACACTAGTGTAGACTGGAGTTAATAGTTGTAGTTACATGGCATCACTGCATGAAAAACTTCCTAAAGTCATTGGCCAAAGCAGGTTTTCACGATGAAGGAATCAATGGACACATGTCTGTGATCAAGGTGGTTCTTCAAGTTAGATAGCATTATTTGTAGTTTGACTTTGAGAGAGATGAGCTTCACCAGGTTTACTTACCATAGGCATGAGCAAATAACTCTTGGCTTTCAATCTGGATAGGTCAAGAGAATTTGTCAGGCGTGCAGTTGTTCTACGGCCACACAGGGTCATGTGACTGATTATGACGTCAAAGTAGTCCTCAGTCTTGACTGATAATTTGTTAGTAATTCTGCAACTAAGATTTCTTTAGTCCTAATTGCCTATTGTTTTTTTATTTTTATTTTTGTCATTTTACATTCATGGCTAAGGAGTAATTTGCCTACAGCAAGACTCAAACCTGTATAGTCTCCCCCCTCTGCCTTTTTTTTCCTCCATCTTATTGATTCATTTAAATTTAATCATATGGCTATGACATATTTTCTGATACTTACCATATATTTCCATATATAAGGCACACATATAGATAAGACAAGACCTAAAATCTATGTAAATTTTTACGATTTTATCCAATATCCATAGCATAAGACTGACCGAGACCAATATGACAAAACTGTAAATAACAATGTTTACAATGAGCTCTTTGCATTCAATGGGGATGATCATAGTAATTTTGAATGGTTTTAATTATGTATGTGGGTGTCTTGTTTTTTTATTCTGCAATGAGAAATAAACATTTGATGGCATCTTAAATGTTTTGTTGCTTAACACCACAAAAAAGGTACCATATAATGTATGTTATTGAAAAATAAAGTATGCATGTTATGCTAAATGTTGTTGTTTAAAACCACAATGATAATGAATTTTAATTACAAATATAGATTTTAGATTATCTTAAATGTTATTTAGCACTAATATGATTGGTAATAATGATTGGTGTGAACGCACACAGCTCTGCAAATCAGGAATGAAAGATTTGTTTATTTGTGCCTGTTGCTCAGTGGAACTTTTGCAAATTGTTGTGTAATTGTCTCTTGAATATTGCATTTTAATGTGAAATCAAGAAGTAAAAGTAGTTTTATTACATTTATAACTGTAGTACATTATAATGTGAATTGTTTCAACTAGAAATATTTACATTAGTAGTTACCATACCAAGACAGTTGTTAACCTCCTGCAATCCATGGTGCAAGCATACTAAACTAGTTACTAGTGCTGATACACCACAGGAGTTAAGGTTAGGTTTTTGTGACTGTTGTATTAGATGAACCTACATTTTGGGGGTAATTTTTAAGATTTAAAAGTTGCCTTATGCACAGAAATATACAGTATTTATCTCTTGCTTATCTTTTTTTATTGCTTAATAAAGAATGAATAATTTGATATTTGCAAAAGCCAAAAAGAAAAAAAAAACAAACAAAACAACTGAGAGGAATAAAATAAAAGTTACTTGAAAACTTAATAAATGGCAAGAATTCATAAAGGAGAACACTTTAGATTATTGCTTTTGTATTTATAGGGTTTCTTCTTTGGGGTTGTATAGGTAAAAATTTTGACAGTTTTAAATATTTTAATCATCTTAAACTATTTTCTATCTTACATATTTATAAGTCTACCATTCATCAAATATAGTTGCATGGCATCTCGGCTTCTGTCACTTCCCACCTCCATAACATAGCTTCCTCTTCCTTTTCTATAAATATTTTCATGTTAATTGTTTTGATGAGCTTTGATATGTGGCATAAAAGATGAAATGTTAGGTAACATCATCATCATATAAATTTCATGAAGAAATTATTTGATATTCTATGCTTTCCTCATTTGTACCTTGACATTATTTAAGCGCAATACTAGATTGGCAGCTAGGTCTCATCATTTTACACTTGAAATGGCTGCGAGATGTAACCGGAAGTTCTATGCAAACAGTTTCTTCTTCTGCACTTCTTGCTTATGGAACTCTCTGACGGACTCTTCCTTGCCAGTCAACTTTGATTTTCAAAAATTGTATTATCAATCATTATCTTTTGTCTTAAATCCTGTTCTTTTATTGTTCTCTCCTTAATAATGATTTTCTTTTTCTCATACTTTCACATCTCTTCCATCTTAGTAGCTTTATTGCCTTGCTTGGGGTGAAATGATAAAAAAAAAAAAAGCATTTAAAAAAAAAAAAAAAAAAAAAGAAACTCTGACACAAAATCCCCCACCTAATTTACTAATTTTTTCTTTTTCAGTCACGGCCACCCCCAGTTGAACCTGTGGATTACGAAACCTATGTGGTAAAACACAAGGTATTACTTCACAATGACCCACAACGAGAACTGCTCATTTTCCCCCATGATGATGTGGTCATTCCTGTAAGTAAATTTGATACTTCTTTGCTTCACTTTCATTAACTTTTTTCATGTTTGTAAAATCCTTCCTTAAATTAAAAAATATGTAACACAAGCATATCCTCTTGATGAATTTTGGGTATGTGCTTGTACGCAGATGTTCATTTTGTCACCTGGTCATTGAAACTGCTTGTCTAAAGAAATCCTGGTAATAAGAACTTTCAATGAAAACTTGGATTTTGCAAAAAGCTCCAATTAATAAATTGTTTTTAAATATGAAAAATACTTTTACTATACAAAACCAGTCAAATTATCTTGCGACCTGTTAGATTGTTGACGTACCATGCTTGGTTCTTTGTAACATTTCTCAAAGTAACCAGGGTTATTTTGTGGTACTCTAAATCAGGGGTCGGCAACCTATGACACGTGTTCCACACATGGCTCACCATTCAATTTACAATGGCATGCAGGCACAAATGACATCATGAAGTCCAAACCAATAACAACTACAACACAAAGAAGATATTTAGTTGTTTCAAAACTGCTCACTCGATGGACTCCTACTAATAATAAAAAACTTAAAAGTATATTTCCAGTAATGTGGTGTACATATTGTATATCTTACTATATAAAATATATTGTATAACAGGTATATTGACCTTGACTTGTATAAAAATATGTATGCTGTTAGCACACCGAATGATTTTAAAACACTAAGTCGTCACATAGCAAAATTGACTCCTGCTCTAAATAATATGACAAGTTGTTGCTGTTACCATATAACTCAGCACAAGACATAATCTTCTTGAATTGATCTGTAAGGGAGAGGTGGTTTTATGCCATTTTCCAAAGGCAATAGTGACATAAAGTACTTTATCTAGAATTTTAATTTTGTTAACCAATTTGATTTCCTGTGCTGTTAATATACAGGACCGACTTTGTACCTCTACAAAATAAGTATTTGTTTGATGTTTTTTTAAAAAAAATATTCTTTTTAATGTAATTAAAAAAAAAATTCTCTTGTTTGAAAGTCTGTGTTAGGTGAGTAACAGATCAGATGTAAGGAAGAAAAAATCATTCATTGTTTCAAATTTGTAAGAAGCATTTTATAAACTATTTTAGTTATGTGCATTTGGATATGATTTTTTTGTTTCTTTGATAAACTTAATCTTAATACGTTGGTAAAGATGTAATATTTTTGGGTTAATCCTCATCTCAAAATTGAAGCTTGCATATTCTCAGAAAATAAAACAATTATCTCAGTTTCATAAAATTATTGGATTATTTTTTAATCAACAAAACTGAAATGATTGTTGAATATCATATGAGAGGGAAACCATGTTTATCACTTAATAAGTAGTGTTGAAACAAAATTGCAATTTTTGTAGTGATGTTATAACATGCATGTTATAATTTTTGAACAAATATTATTTGCTTTACTTGGTATTGAGCACTCTTAAGAATAGTGTTTTTGGTTCAATATGAATGTGTGTGTATATTTTATATATATATATATATATATATATAAATAAATAAATGGACTCTCCCGTCAGTTTCAACATAGGATCTGACAGCTTAGTTGATTCAGTTATGAAATTTTGTGCTATAATCTTAAGTGGCATTTAAGACCCGCTAGTGATTTACAAAGAATGTCACATATGGAGCAAGTGTGAAGATTATGAGATCACTGTTAGATTAACTGACCTTTTAGTTTTTGCTCTTGCTTTTTGAAGATGATTCAGACAAGCAGACTGAAAACTGCTGAGACCACTAAAATACGTTGATCTCCATTCTACCCACTCCAAGGCTAAGCACTCAAGGATGTTATGTGGTATATTGACAGCTGACAAGTTGCTTTTCAGCTTGTCTTTGTTTCTTAGCCATGAGCGTCTTACATTCCTGTAGCCCTGATCTAACTGGCTGTACATTAGGATCTTAGGTAATCTGTCAGCAGACATTCTCAAGTCATATATATATATATATATATATATATATATATATACACACACACACACACACACGAGTGAGAGTGCAAAAAGATGTTGGGCTCAAATTCTTCTGATGTGAAATTTTTTTTTTTTTTCATTTTTGGCAGTAAGTTCTCTTCATCTTTACTACTCCCACTGAGTGACATTTTTTGTCTGATCAAACTTGGATTGTTTGATTTAATACCATTTTCTTTCTTTTTCTTTCTACATGCAGAATATAGTCTCACCAGTGTATATAGGTAAAACAAAAAAAATAGTTTTTCTCTAATTATTAAAAGTGTGAAACATCTTATTTAACCACTTACCATGGTCAAGGTTGTGAAACTAACATTAGTTCCATGTTTTTTTATTTATATGTAGCAAATATTACCTGATATCATAATATACAAAACAAAAAAGCTTAAAATATCAATTGTTTCCTGTTGTAGCATTTCAAGTTCTAGTTTGTTCAGTGACAAATATTTGGTGGTGAATGTGTCAACAAGTATAAAATTGTCTTTGATACTGATATCGTCAGAAAGAGAATTTATATCTTTATTACCTTAGTCTTATTACAAGTAATTTTGGTGTTAGATAAAAAGCAAAGGCATTAAGATCCACTAACCATATCAGGTTTAACATAATTGAATCAAACTGAATTTGATTCTTTTGTTTATAATCTGAACATTTGAGTTTGTTTTGTGTAATTTTCATTTTAAGAAGCTCCTCAATTTCATATAGTAAAAAACAATTCATAGAAAATAAAGTGAGAGATAGATTTCAAAAACACTCAAGTTGCTTTACCAGTTGTTAGCAATGCTGTAATATTAAAGTCAATACTTATGGAATTGTATTTCTGAATTTCTCTCTCTCTCTCTCTTTGTTTCATGTCCCTTCAGGATGTGGGTGATTGTGGCTCTTTGCAGTATACAGTATTTTATGGCTTTTAACAATATTTGCTTTTACAATACCTTGGTTTAAGTTTACAGTTCCTCAGTCCACGCTGGGACATCAATGTCTCTTTTCTTTTGTTTAGTGGCATATCAACTCCTTATGGGTCATTTAATGCCAAAATTTATTTTTCTTGGGAGCAGTAGTAATTTCATTTATGAAAATAGTATTTTTTTTTTTTTTTTTTTTTTTTTCAAAAATGTATTGCTGGTATTTATTTATTTTTTTTTTTTTTTTTCACTATAAAAATGTATTGCTAGTATTTTTACTATGGAAATGTATTTTTATACTTTCATAGTGTTTTGACCCCCAGTTTAAGGGATTACCTTTTTGACCCCCAGTTTAAGGGATTACCTTTTTGATCCCCAGTTTAAGGGATTAACCTGGGGACAACAGCAATTAAGAAGTGGTTAAAATACTCATCAAAATCTCCCAATAAGAGGCCTTGCTGCCAGAGATAGTTTGTCATACCCAGGACACATCTGTTTTGACTTGTGAATGTCTAGACACAAGATTATTCCACAGTAAGCTACCATTTCTTTCTGCTGTAGACTGGTTGCTAATCAAGGTTATAGGGTCCAGACTGTCCTGCTATTCAACTTATAGCTGGTGGGAGAAGAGATAGATTTATACCTTTCCCAAAGATATTTGTTCACAACTGAATGTAATGAACCTGACTGGAATTAAAACTTGGTTCTCCGATTTCTTGTTCCAAGCTGCAATCCATCACACCACATGGCATATTCACATCCATTATCACATATGGCATTGATTTTGACTTTTTTTCTTCAGTCCATTTGCACTTGTTGGATATGTCAGCCATTCTTTCTCTTTACTTCTCTTGCCCAGTGAGTGTTAAATTCTCTAAACCGTCTTTCCTCATGTATCAAAAAATTTCACTTTGTTGATTATTTGAAGCAGTTTCTTTGTAGTCCCTTTTATTCTTAAAATGTCCTCATTTGTTGCATGGTTTGTCTATGGTATTCTCAACATTCATCAGTCAAATTACTTTTTGGTTGATTCAATCTTTTTTTTTCTATTACAAGAAAATTATTCAGTTTTTACTGCCATAAGAATACTCAACTCTCCCGTCAAATTAAGGGTCAAGCAGATCAGTTCCCAGGAAACTGACAGCCCTACAACAGCACATGAGATTTGATTATAGTGGTTGCAGGACCATCCACACTTTTTGAAGGGCCGAATACAGAAACCTGGTGCACTTCATTCCACAGGGTCCCCAAACAGCCCTCCGCAGGTTTTGAATTCAGAGTTGTCCTTCTCCTAGACCAGTTGCCATCCAAGGCTATAGAACCCAGTCTGTCCTGCTATTTACCCATAGCTGGAGGGAGAAGAGGATTCTTACCTTTCCCAAGGGTATTAGCACATAAGTGAATGTAATGGATTTGACTGGAATTCAAACTTGGCTCTTGGATTCCTCAATCCAAGCCACTATCCATTACTCCAACGTGCCTCCTGAATCTCCGCCATAAGAATAAACATCATATAACGGTTAAATATTCTTTCATTTAATCTTTAGTATTTTATTCAGTTTCTGAAAAGTATCTTTGGTTATTCCTTTGTGCTTTTCAATTTGTGTCTTACTTTTCATCATCAGTTGTTATCCTGCCAAAATAGTTGAAATTTTACACTCTAACCAAGAATACAGCATTTGTTGTTCTAACCTTCTTGTACAAAACAACATTCTTCTTCCCCCTACTTCTGGCTTGATTCTACTCCAAGTTCTGTTCATTAGAATCTTAATTATTACTTTTGTTATGTAGCTCATCAAGCTTTATTGTTCGGTGAAACTTGCATTCATTTTCATCTTTTTTTTTTTTTTTTTTTTTTTTTTTGCATGCTATGAAAATTGATCCATTTAAGTAGATCTCCCCATGTTGTGTGAGGAGAGTGCTGAAGTGTTCTTGGTCTGACCAACTTCCCAAAATCTAACAAAGTAACCATGTGTATCTTGAATCAACAATGTCAATTGACATTAATGATTTTGAATTTTAGTAAGGGCTTCTTGATTAGGCTAAGAGCTTTTCTGCAATTTTGTTTATCACTTCAGTAACTTTATTGATCCCAAAGTCTTCCAATACTGACTTC